GCTTCTTTTTATTGACTGCAGCCTCCAGAGGATCAGAAACAGCCGCCTGCAGAGCATATCTCAGTCTACCCTCGCAAGGGGAGACGCCCACGTTAGCTGATCCAGATAGCCCCTCCTGGCTTGGTTCTGGCCAGCCTAGCACAGCTCAGTGTGTCCCGGACCCAGGAAGGGGTGGGGATGGAGTCATGGCTGGCAGCCCTGCATTATCAGAAACTCAGTAAGCCTTCACTGATGTATAGCCTTCCTGCTCCCAGACCAGGGTCTCAGGCTTACCCAGGAGTGGGGCTCATCGGGCTTCTGGTCGGAATCCCTGGCATATGGGTGACGGGTGATGCTGGCCAGACCCTGAGGTGCCTTGGAAGCTTGATAGCAACTTTGTGGGCCTCTTGGATCTCCTCTCTTGTAGTACTGAATTTACAAGATTAGGGTCCATGGTACTCACTTTTTCGGGTAAGGAATTGGGGGAAGACTCCCCAAACCAGCACTCTTTTAGCTGAGTTATGCCCATCAGTCAACAGCGCCGCAGCCTGTCAGGGAGAGACTGCTTCTGGTGGCTGAGCATCCCTCAGGCTCTCTGTCTCTCCCCCTTTATGAAAGCTTCCCAAAGGCAGGTACCCTGTCTTCCTTTCTGCATCCCTAGGTCACAGCCTAGGGCTAGCACAAACCAGATGTGTGGTGTACTTCTATAAACGAAAAGGTGACTCAAGCCAATGCCATTCAAGCCTGCTGGATGCTCAGCATCAGGTCTCCATGGGTGTCCATTAAGCTGGCTTGGGTCCTCCTGGGCTTCCTTGCCCCAGGGTCATGGTGCCACCTAGAGTCCAGTCTGGGTTCAGACACTTCTGAACTGGGACCATAGCCCTTGCCTTGGTCCCCAGGACTGGGATGAGCTGGCTGGGGTTGCCTACAGAACCCACAGGGTGGGAAGGCTTGTTCCAACAGGAATGGCATTTATCTTCCATAGGATGCAAGAGGAGGACAGAAGGGCACCTCAGATGCCAAGCACATGGCTGAATTGCAGAAAGAGGTATGTTCTGGAAGGATCAGCTTTCTAAGTCCCCTTTCCCTCTGTTGCAGACAGGCAACAAGGCGTTAGTGTCTGCCGTGTGCTTGACCCTTTGTGCGCCTCCAGCAGGGAGAGGGGAAATGGTTTCTCCCTCACAGAACTTCAGTCTATGTGGAAGGCAAGAAGGGCCCAGTCCTGACTCAACCTCCCATCTGCTTAGGGCAAGAGTGGGAAAGGAAGCATGTTCCAGACCCCAGACTTCCAGGTTCCTCCTTAGGAAGGGAAAGGAGAAGGAAGAGGGCTGAGGGGCACACAGAAGATTCTAGGAGGAAAGACAAAAGCAAACAGAAGCATCCTGGCCTCCTGTGCCCTCAAATGCACCTTTGCAGGCAGAACTGTTGCCAGCACAGCAGGCAAAGTAGTCTGGGACCAGTGCCAAGATCCATACCTCAGCTCAAGCTGCCATGCTCAGGGAAACCAGTATTGACTTCTTGCCTCTTTGGCCTCACCTAGAGGTTCACCCTGTCTTTCAAGACCCAGGAGTAATAAGAACTGTGGAATTTTTATTTCTAAGCCTCTTTCAGGAATTAATAGTCACTACTGGCAGAACCTATCTCTACAGCTAGACTTAGCTATCACTCTGAATTCAGACAAAGCAGTCCTGAGATGGAGCCCGGACTAGGGTGAGGCAAGGAAAGCACGTTGGGTGGAGAATTTAAGGAGGTGCTCACTATCAACCTGGAGTCCCTCATTAAATTTTGTACCCCAGGAGCCTCTCTGCCTCACCCTAGTCCTGGACCTGCCCTGAGCTCCTAGTAACCACTTCCTGGTAGTTTCAGTGTACTCAGAGAAATGGAAAGGTTAATAAAGCAGGGATTCTCATCCCTGGCTGCACATTAGAACCACCTGGGGAGCTTTGAAAAAAATGCTGATGCCCAGGCCTCACTGCAGTCTAATTAAGTAAGAATATTTTTTTTTTAATTTTTTTAAAGTTTTATTTATTTTGAGAGGCAGAGAGAGAGAGAGAGAACATGAGCAGGGGAGGGGCAGAGAGAGAGATAGAGTGAGAATCCCAAGCAGGCTCTGCACTGTCAGCTCAGAGCCCCGCATGGGGCTTCAACTCACAAACTGCGAGATCATGACCTGAGCTGAAACCAAGAGTCGGATGCTTAACTGACTGAGCCACCCAGGTGCCCCAAGTCAGAGTATTTCTTAAAAGCTTCCAAAAGGGCACAGAAATACTTTCTGCAGTGATTAAAATATTCTGTATCTTGATCGGGATGGTGGTTATACATGCGTATGTACATTATGAAACTCATCAAAATTTACACTTAAAATCTGGGCATTTTATTACATATAAATGATCCCTCAATAAAGTTGATGAATAGTTTTGTTGTTGCTGTTGTTTTTAAAGTCCCTGTTTGAGCCTCCTGTGCAGCCACGGTTGAGAATCATTGGATTTTTCCATGATTCCCAGGGGCCCTTGCCCTAAACACTAAAGCCTGATCCTGAGATCTGTGTGTGGTAGTTGCTTCAAATGCGCTATCACGGGGGCACCTGGGTGGCTCAGTCGGTTAAGCGTCTGACTTCAGCTCAGGTCACGATCTCGCGGTCCGTGAGTTCGAGCCCCGCGTCGGGCTCTGAGCTGATGGCTCAGGGCCTGGAGCCTGCTTCTGATTCTGTGTCTCCCTCTCTCTCCGTCCCTCCCCCGTTCATGCTCTGTCTCTCTCTGTCTCAAAACTAAATAAACGTTAATAAAAAAAATGCGCTGTCACAAAAGACACAGGAGCAGAGTGGGAAGGCGTGGGGCAGCCTCGAGGCACTTAATTACTCTTTCCCTCTCGATTTTCCTGCCCCCCCCCCCACCCCTGCAGGTGGCCCTGCTGCGCACCCAGCTGGCCTTGGAGCGGAAGCAGAGGCAGGACTACATCGCTCGCTCGACGCAGACGAGCCGTGAGCTGGCAGGCCTGCACCACAGCCTCTCCCACTCACTTCTGGCCGTGGCCCAGACCCCTGAGGCCACTGTCCTGGAGGCTGAGACCCGCAAGCTAGATGAGTCCCTGACTCAAAGTCTGACATCCCCAGGGCCGGTCCTGCTATGCCCCAGCCCTACCCAAGCCACCTCCAGGTAGCAGCCACAGCCAGGGCAGGATACGGACCAGCCAGGGAACACACACACACAGATGGCTGCTATGGCCCAGGAAGAGGGAAGGAAGTCTGCAATGCTGGAAACGAGGCAAGTTACACCTGCCTGTAGCCCACGGAGTCACCCTAGAGGAGTGCTTTGCTCTAGCCAAGGGACCTTTACTGCCTCTTGTCTAGAATGTATTATCCCAGCACTTCACCCAATCTTTCTCCTCCCCTCCAACAATAAACCCCAGGTCTCTGTGTTTGTTCTCTGCTGCTGTCTCCACTTGTGTCACTGGGTGGCAACAGCATGTCAGGGTTTCTGTTAAAGAAGAGTTTGCTGAAGATTCCGGTCAGATGGCATGAATTTGTCATCTGCCTGCATTCTGATAGAGAAGACTTAGAGCAGATGCAACAAGTCAAAGCCCCTGCCCACAGGGAGCTGGAGTCCAATGGACAAGAACAGATGAGCACTCATCAATGAGTCACAGACAGTACTGTGTACTGACTAGAAGTACGTAGGGGACTGGGGACTGAGGCAAGAAGGCATGAGCTGGCCCTTGAAGGATGGAGGAGTTGGCATGCTGGTGAGATTGGTCGGCCTGTGGCAGAGTGTGCTGGGGCTGAGGTTGGGTGCGGAGGGAGGGAGATTATGGAGGGCCTTGGGATCCAGATTCGAACTCATGGACAATAAGGAACCATCATATGTTCTTGACTTAAAACCACTTCTGGGGCTTCAAAAACACTGAGCTGACCTTTGGCTAAAGTCAGTCTGTAGAGTTCAGACATTCCATGGAGCCTCATTCTCCTGCTCTGGGTGAATGCCCTTGGCATCCCTTCCTGGACACACCAGCTGGAACCAACTCTGGTCCTCTGCAGTCCAACCACGTGTCAAGCCAGTAAAGAGGATAGACTATGGCAGAATTTGTCACTAATAGACTCACCCTGGTGGAGGCACCCAGGACTGAACCCAGTTCACAGACTTAAGAGTTAACTGTTGGCAACTTCCTTGAAGCCTAAGAGAACAGCTTCTCTAAAAAAGCAGGGCATGGCCTTTCTCTGGCCCTTCAACTGATTTCCTTCTGGAATACCTTTTCCTAAGCCTGAAGATGGAGCTAAGGCCAGTTAAGAATGCAGGGGTTTGAGGGCAGCACCACACTCCCCCAACCTGTTTACTCAGGGCTCAGGCCCCATCTATTTCATCACATCACACAGTAGACAGGGTGCTGTTCACCACTGCTGAAGTTTTGTTCTAAAAATTCATGCCATGGGACTCAGCAACAGGTACTTAGTAAAAAGTTACAGCTTAGAGCTCCCCAGAATTGTATCTGGAGCCCCAGAGATGCTGGCCTGGACCCTGCCTCTACTCAGATTCCCTGTGGCTCAGAATCCTCACCTGGCCTTTCCTGTGCTAGGAGTTCTCAAGGACAAACAGGACTTCTCTTGGTTCCTTACTTTTTGGTCCTTCACCTCTGGTTCTCTAGCTTAGAGAAGAGTGTGGATCTTCTAGGCAGGACCCAACCTTGCCTAAAGGCATCAGGCCAGACCTTCCTTTCCTTCTCCACCCCACATGCCACAGCGAATCTGGTGGTTGGGAAATGTCTCTGACCAGCGAGGTCTCATGGATGCACTTGAGGATGATGAAGTTGGTCACCAGAATCTGGGGGGAAAGGTCAGAGCTGAGGTCAAAGGCCTCCTTTCACAAAACTTTTCTCCTCTGTTCCAGCCTCTCCTTTGCTAGAGGCTGGTATAGAACAGAAAGTCTTGAGAGTCGAAGAGGACAAGAGCTGAGTCAGAGTCTGGGCAATGTTCCTAGGGAGTGCCTGGGTCTGCCGGGTGCGGCACCCCATTCTCTCAGCCTCCATAGTTTGCATGTTACAGCAACGATCACCAGAGCACAATTTAATTACCTTGACTCATATGCTTCCCTACACGGGACTAGTAGAAGCGTGAAGGCAGAAAAGCATGAAGTAGAGAAGGAAATACTGGTTGTAGGTTAGGGAGGTGGGGAGTATACAGTCACACACTGCAGAGTGACGACAAGATCAACATTTACACCAAAAAGCCAGGGCTGTCTGCTCCAGGCCTGGGGCCTCCACCCTCACACCACCTGGTAAAAGATGCCCTTTTCCACCTTGGCTCAAGACCACTACAGTCCACCCTATATCTGGTGGCTGTGACAACACCAGCAGTGTGTGGATATTCTCTCCAGGTCATGGGCATTCTCAGGTGCATTATGTGCAGGTAGATTCTGTTTGTTGCCTTTGTTGTTCTCTGGACCTAAAACTGGGGCCTGGTTCATTCTGCAGAGATAGGAAAGGAAGTCAGGAAGGCTTTGGGGCTCACAGGCTGGCACTGCTCACCACCCTCACCCTCTTGCCCCCACTAAGCACAGGTGGTGCTCCTCAGTGGATACTCCATATTGTGAAGACTTCAGATTCCCCGAGTTCCACGTTGCATAGCACAGGACTGGCATGGGTGGGTCTCAGGGCTTTGCTGTGGGGATCAGCTGAAAAGTTCCTCCTTGGCCAGCTGGAATGGGGTTAGGTCTCCTAGCATCAGTGCCTACAAAGAAGAGCACAGACCAGTTACCACTTCATCCCCATGTTCTAACACAGAGGAGGCTGTGCCCCATCAGAGTAGAGAAAGGAGTCAGGGAGGGGATACAGCCCAGAGCCCAGGAACTCTGGAAATCGTGGTCTCCAACTCCACAAGGAGCTTCGGGGCTCATCTGGAAGCGCTGGTCAAACTAGGCAGACACTGCTGGTGGAATCAGGCTATCCAGACGAGCAACCTCAGGGCCTCTGCAGCTCTGGGGCCAGCAGCAGAACTTCCAGAAGTACCTGTGGAGGGGGGGATACCTCACCTACAAAAGCAGCAAAGCAATCTGCAGCCTAAGACTTGGCATGCAGGCCTCATCTCAGCCTGTGGAACAGGTCCCTTTTCAGCCAGATGGTTGGTTAGTTGTCTGGTCTTAGGACAGATGACACCTTCAGCTGCCTGCCCCCCACCCCTGCAATACCTCACCTCCTCCCTCTGGCCCACTAAACACCTATTCACTCCCCAGGGCTGAGGATGGAGCAGCCGAGCTCTGTGCAAACACTAGGCCCTGCAGAGCAGGGGCAGTGGTGTGCGGAGGCAGGGAGCAGAAAGAAGCAGGGGCTGTCGGTGTGCTGCAAGCAGTGATCACTCAGGCGCAGTGGGGAAGACATGCAGACTTGGCTCTGCTCACCACACTTAGAAAGTAGGCAAGGGAGGAGGAAGTCCAAGAACATGGGGTCTCAACTTGGGGCCCTAGAATTTACTCCCTCTACCCTGCTGAGACCAGGGGTTGTCCAGACCCCGATGGAGGTGAGGATGAGAAGAGAGGCTCCTCCAGAGAAGGTAGGGCTGTGCTCCCACTTCATTTACATCAGTCACCTGTCACAGTATGCACATTTTGACCTTTCTCTTGGCCCTTTGTTAACCAATGCCACTAGCTCTTTATAGCCTCCATAGGCCCTGAAACCTGACACAGGTGGGATGGCTTGGAGGTAAAAAGGTGAATGGGTCAGTGATCAGAAGAGAAATGTGCCTCTCTACTAGGGCTGTGCAATGTGCTCCTCAGAGTGGGTGCTCTCTGTTCCCAGCACATGGCCATGTGTGTGGACGCAGGGAGGGAGAGAAGAATAAGCATTCAAATCTGGTTCTTTTTAATGACGGCAAGTCCTTGAGGTGAGGGAATCTGGGAAGGCTTATACCAGTGCCTGATAATCCACACATCTCTCCTGGACTTCCTATCTTAGTTTCCTGTCATGTCTCCTAGATCTGAAGATTCCAGCCCTACCAGTCAGATCCAAGGGTCTAAGGCTTGTTGCTGGCCAAGAATAGCCTCACATTCGAGCTGGCCAATTCCCTTGCCTTCTGCTGTTGCATTGTGGCTCGACATGTCAGGCTGCAGCCTTTAGAAGTAACTGCCTTCCCTGTATAAGGGCCCACCTCTTGTCTGCCCAACTCCAGATACAGAAACCTTACGGATAAAATGGCTGGTTGCTGCCCCTTGACCTGAATCCAACTGTCCATTCACTTGGAAATACTCATTAAACCTGTGTGTCACAAAGCACCGTAAAGAGGAGCTCTTCTCCAGGGGGGACAGAGTCTGCACCTAGACAAACACTTGCAGAATGACCTGGATGTCCAGAAGAGACTCACTGGCCACTCAAATGAAGCCAGAGGAAGTGTCACAGAATATCCTGGAGGCAGAGAGGCCTGGAGAGCCTTTTCAAAGTGTTTTTAAGCTGATCGGATAGATACACTGTGTTTATGGGGTCCAGAGGTGTGCCTGTGGGTCCCAAGAGCGATGGCAGGCTCTTGGAGCTATACCAGCTAGCCTGTTCAGTTTAGATCTTTCCTACTAGAGCTGAAGCATCAGCCACAGGTGAACTTGATGTTCAGCCCACAAGCCTAAAACCCACCATTAAGGCCTCATTCTTTTCCCGTGGGGCAGTGCATAGGACGAATGGCTGGCTGACGCAGACACCAAACACTGGGAAAAGTAGGAAGCTATAGTCACAGACTTCAGCACCACATAGCCCTGGCGGCCTCCATCACAGCTCCATAGTCACCTGCTAAGCCCTACAGGGTGCTCCACTAGAGGCTGAGTGGAGGGAGGGGAGAGGCAACATTTAGCGTATCCTGTGGCCTCCTGGAGGAGAAACGGTTGATGCTCAATGGGGTTCTTCATGCCAGCCCAGTATCAGGACCCCACCACACAAGTCACATTGTGAATTCCTGCATGGAGGCCTTGTGGGTAACTGCCTTCACCTTGGCATTCACCTCAGGGTCCAGCTGGTAAGGGTGGGCTTGGCAATCAAGCATAATGGGGACGGGAATAAAGAGTGAGAATATGTGCCAAGACTAATGTGGCGCATGTCTCAGAGATGGACGCCATCTATGGCCAGTGTCGGGTTGTTAAGCATAAGGCAGAAAAGGTAAAGGAAAAGACTTTGGCCCCTCTTTTTTAAAAAAAATTTTTTTTCTAATGTTTATTTTTGAGAGAGAGAACAAGCTGGGGAGAGGCAGAGAGAGAGAAGAAGCCAGGATCTGAAGCAGGCTCTGCACTGTCGGCGCAGAGCCCAATGCAGAGCTCAAACCCACAAACTGTGAGATCATGACCTGAACCCAAGTTGAACACTTGACTGACTGCGCCACCCAGGTGTCCCTTTTTGACCCCTCTTGAGGAAAGAATCTACAGGAAAACTTTTTGATGTGGTTAAAAGTAAATTTTTATCTAACCAAACTTTTTTTCTTTTATTTAAAATGAAACCAATGCATGTACATGGTTATAAAATGAAGTAGAAAAGAAGGTAGCAGTTTCCCATCCAGTTCTTTTCCAACCTCTCTCCAGGGGCAACCAATTTTTTAAGACTCTATTTATAGGGTGCCTGGGTGGCTCAGCCAGATGAGCATCTGACTCTTGATTTTGGCTCAGGTCATGATCCCAGGGTCACAGGATCAAGCCCACATCGGGCTCCATGGTGAGCTTGGAGCCTGCTTGAGATTCTCTCTCTTTCTCCCTCTGCCCCTCTCCCAAACACTTTCTCACTCTCTCTCTAAAATAAAAAAATTTTAAAGACTCTATTTTTACACTTGATCTCATCCAAAAGGCTGAGAAGCGATAAAGACTCTATTTTTAGAGCGGGCAACTTTATTCCTCTAAATACCTGTAATATGTTTTATGATGTCATAATAGGTCCAGTATCCAGAATAACATGGTAATAGGTAGTAGCACTGCTCACACCTTTGGGGATTCTTGGGCTCTGGCTCCAAACTAGACATCCCATACACCTCAGTGCCCTTGGGGAGGTGGGTACGTGTGCTCTTGGCTGTATGAGGGATATTTGCATTATTTTAGTGTGTGTATGTGCTTTGAGGGCAGCCAAGGAGGTAGAACATAGTGGGTATTTGCTTTGTATACCCAGCAACCAAACACCCTCATTAGTGGAGGCTATTTGGTTACCCTGAACTACTGTTTCTATAAAAACAGCAGGATAAATGCTCCCTCTCCCCCGAGTTGATAGTTTCCTCTAACAAATTGTTTTTATTTCTGAGTATCATTATGGACTCAAGGATTCTTTGTATATTCACTGTGATTCCATCATGACAATGGCTGTTTTTAATGTTGAAATCTTCCCAACTATGATGTCTAGATTTTCCTGGTACTTTTCCTCTACAGATCTGGAATCGTTTCATGGGAAAGAAGTATTTAGAAAACAAAATCTGAGTTCCAGGATTGATCATTTCTACGGATATGTTATGGCTTTTAGACCATTCAGATAACAGAGCAGAAAATGTATTTGGAAAATCGTTAGTTTATGGTGATGTGGGTTGCACAGCAATGTGAATGTACTTAACGCCACTGAACTATACACTTTAGAATGGTTAAAATGTAAATCTTACGTATATTTTGCCACAATAAAAAATAATTTGAAAATTGAGTTTATAATATTTCGTTTGAATTTAATGTCACAGAGTTTTTACTATACCTGTTTGACTTTGTATTTGGTTCCTAATAATATTAATATAATTACTTATTTACTTTATTCCATGATACCCATTATATAGTTTCAAAAATAATACTAATATTATAATAAATCTGCTAAGTGAAGTGAAAATTTTTTTTAATGCTTATTTTTGGGAGAGAGAGAGACAGAGCACGAGTGGGGGAGGAGCAGAGAGAGAGGGAGACACAGAATCTGAAGCGGCTCCAGTCTCTGAGTTGTCAGCACAGAGCCCGACATGGGGCTCGAACTCACCAGCCATGAGATCATGACCTAAGCTGAAGTTGGACACCCAACCGACTGAGCCACCCAGGTGCCCCTCTAAGTGAAGTTTAAATTTTCTTTATAGTTCTTTTTGTCTACAGAATATATCCTGTAAAGGATACATAGTGTATTGAGTTCCAAAGGAACTTGAAATAATTCTTTTCCCTGGTGCTTATATTACCAATCTGATAGGCAGTTAGGTCCATTTGATTTGTTCTCAACTTTAGGGTTTGCTTTTTCCTCTTTTTCATTTGATTATATTTTTTGGTTATACACACACACACACATATACACATATAATGTGACATATGTATATAGATGTCATATGGGGACATGTTTGCTGTATATATATATATATATGTATATATATATGTATATATACATACACACACATATATACACACACACACACACACATATAATGTGACATATGCATATAAATGTCATATGGGGACATATTTGCTGTTAGAATGCAGGCTTTAATACCACCAGGAATCCATTGGGAGGAATAAGCTACAGTTTTATTTAGCAGAAGAGTGATTTATATCCAGGGTCACCTGAAACCCTAGTCCCTCTCTGATACTCCTTGGTCCCCTTGACTACCTGTCAGCCTCCTGGGGCTTCCAATGGGCTGAACAGGCTGGAAAACATCTCAGTTGTAGACAACAACTTTCCCCTCACACTCCAGCTTAAAGATGACCTTTCGCTCTTCTTTGAAACTGTGCATGTTACTCTTGAGCCAATATTTATCATCCCAGTAATGGGACAACCTCATGAGCTTTGTCTGTCCCAAAAACCAAATAAGGATACCTGGGAAATAGGATAAGACAGGAGAGGGGCACAGGGTCACAGGCTGGATCCTGTCCTGCCTCCATGCCCACCAATCATCCTTTAGCAAATATTCACTTAACATCTAGTGTGATAGCCTTCCTTTTGGACCTCGGAGGAGAACAGAGCTCACCTTCTCCAGGGAAGACACACTCTGAACACACAGTATGACCCCGGAGCCCAGTAAAGAGAGTGTCAATGAGTTGTTCCTGATTATATTGGAGGAAAAGAGGATTCCCCAGGGAAACAAGAGAAGGGCATTCCAGGCAGAGGCAGCAGTGTGTGAGAAGGCAGGAGGGATCTAGTGTGTTTGGGGAATGCCAAGAAGCACAGTGTGTGTTTAGGGAGAGAAGGTAGTGGTGGTTAGATCATGAAGGGTCTTAAAAGCCAGGCAAAGAACTTTAGACTCAACCTGAAGTCCCTGGGAAAATGGACATTTTTGGCAGAAGGATGAAGGTCAGTGAGTTGAAGAAGTTGTCTTACCTGGTCACATGTGTGCAGGGCATACAACAAACCCACGAACCCCAAGGATGGAAACCAACTGTGTTTCCCCAGCCAACAATGCTGGACATACTGGAGAAAGTTGAGGCTGATCACCAAGACCTAGAGAATATAAGGGAGAGTGCTGACCTGAAGGGCATCCAGTGGCTGCCCACAGCCACATCATCCTGCTCCTCCCCCTTTACCCTCCTGGATCCCTCACCTTGTCTTTGCTCTTGTTACTTCTACTAGGGACCTGGACGATCTGAAATCTAAAAAGGGATTGGGATGTGGGAATTTTAGAGTCATTTGACACAGAAGCCCCCAAGCTTAGGTAAGCCTTGAGGGTGCCCCAAAATTCAGCAAGGGTCCCTCTGGAGTCCCCACTGTCACCCTCTGCAATGGCTCCACTCACTGCCATACCCTGGGCTTCTGAAGCTCTATTCCCGCAGCACTTCCATAAACCACTTTAGACCAGATGAATTCAGAGGAAGCAGCAGCAGTGGGGTGCCAGGATCCTGTGTGCTAGCCATCTCAGTGTACATAATGTGCATGGTGGTTTTGTTCCCCACATCCATCTCAAAGCCTTGGACAGGGGCCTGGTTCATCCTAGAAAGGAGAGCAGAGTAGAGATTTGGGGGAAGAAGGGGATTTGGTCTGACTTTCCTGGTCTCCACCTCCTACTCTGCACCCACCTGAGGACCATGCCATGTTGGTTAATCCTAAATCCATGGCCAGAGCCCCGTAGGAACCTTGAGTTTCCAACCACTGCACAGGTCCGGCAGCTGGGCCCTGCATAGCCCTATGCATGTCTGGGAGACTTTTCTACTGGCTGCTGGTCCTGATCCTCAAACTCTTTCTTTTTTTTTTTTTTTTTTAATTTTTTTTTTCAACGTTTATTTATTTTTGGGACAGAGACAGAGCATGAACGGGGGAGGGGCAGAGAGAGAGGGAGACACAGAATCGGAAACAGGCCCCAGGCTCTGAGCCATCAGCCCAGAGCCCGACACGGGGCTCGAACTCACGGACCACAAGATCGTGACCTGGCTGAAGTCGGACGCTTAACCGACTGCGCCACCCAGGCGCCCCTCAAACTCTTTCTTTGACTTGACACCCTGAAGTTCAGAAAAGCATAGGAGGGAGGAATAGGGGCTCATCTCAGACTCAGTATCTTTGGAAGAAGATTAGAGCTTGGGACCGTGAAGGGAAAGATGGGCAGAGCATGGTGTTGGGAGCAGGGACTGGACAGAGACCAAGACTGTGTACTGACCAACCACAATATCAGAGCATCAGAGGACATGGGCTCTTTTGACTTCTGCACAGGCTCAACGGCCCTTTCGAAGCATTCATCAAACCAGTCAGATCCTCCAGGTGTGTGGAGGCAGGCAGGGCACTCGAAGATCTCAGATGAACACATACACTTTCTGAAAGATCTGAAGCATTGGCAGGATTCTGGCCTTGACTGTATTCTGGCCTTTTCATGGAGGTCATTCTGGCTGAATTCCTGGCTCAGGAAGGAGGCTATCAGACACAATGTAAGCCTACAGGCAGCTACCAGACTCCACTTCAAGTATCGAACCCGCATCTCTGGCATCCACGATGGTGCCCCAGCAGACAGTAGTTTAGCTCTGACACCTGGTACTGGGAAGGAGGAGGGGCTGGGGCCAACAGACCAGTGCCCCCTGTCCTGATGGCTTCCGTTCTTCCCCTAACCCTTCACACCACATCTCAGTCCCAACACCTCACCTCTTGCTTCCTCAGCCACCTGCTAAATGCTAAAAGGAAATCTGCTAAGGCCTGGGGTGGAGGTTGAGAAGAAGGAAGAGGTGACACCTGTGTTCTGTGGTCTCCCAGAGGAGATTGATACCCAGTGAGGTCTTTCATGCCAGTCCAGTTATAACAGGGACCTCATCACAGACACCACATTGTGACCTCCACTATGAAGGCTTATTGGCAAGTCCCCCTTCTTCACTTTGGCATTCAGCCCAGAGCCCAGCTGACAAGGGAGGCTTGGAAGTCAAGTGTCAAGGGAACAAGAGGGTGAGGAGGGAATGGGTATGTGCCAAGTCTGATGTAGACGAGCAGGAGACAGAGAAGGGAAAGGAAGGGCCATTTGGAACCATCTGGGTCAGAGAAAATTTATCATATTGACAAATTCATGATAGATGAATACTTGGTCTATTTAACCCTTTTTTTTTTAATTTTTTATTTATTTATTTTTTTTTTCAATGTTTATTTATTTTTGGGACAGAGAGAGACAGAGCATGAACGGGGGAGGGGCAGAATCGGAAACAGGCTCCAGGCTCTGAGCCATCAGCCCAGAGCCTGACGCGGGGCTCGAACTCACGGACCGCGAGATCGTGACCTGGCTGAAGTCGGAGGCTTAACCGACTGCGCCACCCAGGCGCCCCAATTTTTTCAAAACAAAACCAAAACAAATCACATTGTCCACAAAGGCTTTTAACATGAAGCAACTGCCCTCATTCCTCTTTACCTGAGGCCTCTCCTCAGAGGCGTCCTCTTTTTTTTTTTTTTAATTTTTTTTAATGTTTTATTTATTTTTGAGACAGAGAGAGACAGAGCGTAAGCAGGGGAGGGGCAGAGAGAAAGTGAGACACAGAATCCAAAGCAGGCTCCAGGCTCTGAGCTGTCAGCACAGAGCCGGATGCAGGGCTCGAACTCTAACTCACAGACAGTGAGATCATGACCTGAGCTGAAGTCGGACGTTTAACCGACTGAGCCACTCAGGCGCCCCAGAGACATCCTCTTCTGTTCTTCAACATTTGCTTCCGTATTTCTTTTTTTTTTTTTTTAATTTTTTTTAACGTTTATTATTTTTGGGACAGAGAGAGACAGAGCATGAACGGGGGAGGGGCAGAGAGAGAGGGAGACACAGAATCGGAAACAGGCTCCAGGCTCCGAGCCATCAACCCAGAGCCTGACGCGGGGCTCGAACTCACGGAGTGCGAGATCGTGACCTGGCTGAAGTCGGACGCTTAACCGACTGCGCCACCCAGGCGCCCCTGCTTCCGTATTTCTAAATGATTAAAAAAAAAAAAAAAAATTGGGGGAGGGCACCTGGGTGGTTCAGTCGGTTGAGTGTCTGACTTCGACTCAGGTCATGATCTCAAGGTTTGTGAGTTCGAGCCCTGCGTCGGTCTCTGTGCTGTTAGCTCAGAGCCTGGAGCCTGCTTCGGATTCTGTTGTCTCCTCCTCTCTCTGCCCCTCCCCCACTTGTGATCTGTCTCTCTCTGTCTCTCAAAAATAAATAAATGTAAAAAAAACCGATATGCTCATACCACTGTATCATGATACTATGTGTACTCTACCCGCTATATACATCATATCATTATGTTTAGTAGTACCCTCTTGGTTACTTTGTAATTTTATATAATGGACCCTAACATCTATTTCTCATTCTGTAGCTACAAGACAAGATTTCTTGAATCCCTTCTCTCTGAGAATGTTGTGCCATACACTTCTATTTGTCAATTATCTTCCCTTTACACATCTCAACATTGGTATTTTGAACTTCTACATCAAGGATAATATTTACATTCTGTTGTGTCATTAAGCTTCATGTGCTTTGTCTCTAGCGGTGCTATCCCAAAGAAATATGTGAACCAATATTTAATGTTTAAATATTGTCATTTCAACATGTATGCAATATAAAAATATTATTGAGATATTTTGCATTCTCCTTGCTTGAAACTTAAGTCTCCTTTTTTAAAAAATATATTTATTTTTGGGAGAGTGCAAGCGGGGCAAGAGGCAGAGAGAGGGGGACAGAGAATCCCAAGCAGGCTCTGCACTGACAGGCTGACAGCAGCGAGCCCGAAGTGAGGCTTGAATTCGTGAACTGCAAGATCATGACCTGATCTGAAGTCGGACACTCAACCGACTGAGCCACCCAGGCACTCTGAAACAAAGTCTTCTAAATCCAAATTGTATTTTACACTCACGATATATCTAAATTTGAGTACTCAGTTTTCATCAAATACATGATCTATACATTTTTTTTTTAATTTTTTTTTTCAACGTTTATTTATTTTTGGGACAGAGAGAGACAGAGCATGAACGGGGGAGGGGCAGAGAGAAAGGGAGGCACAGAATCAGAAACAGGCTCCAGGCTCTGAGCCATCAGCCCAGAGCCCGACGCGGGGCTCGAACTCACAGACCGCGAGATCGTGACCTGGCTGAAGTCGGACGCTTAACCGACTGCGCCACCCAGGCGCCCCGATCTATACATTTTATAAAATTTGATAATATAAAAAGTAGATTTACATATCCAAGTTATAACCAGTATACTTAAAGGTTTTCCAATAACTGAATTGTGTTCACTTTTTTTATTTTTAAAAATTTTTTTTCAACGTTTATTTATTTTTGGGACAGAGAGAGACAGAGCATGAACGGGGGAGGGGCAGAGAGAGAGGGAGACACAGAATCAGAAACAGGCTCCAGGCTCTGAGCCATCAGCCCAGAGCCTGACACGGGGCTCGAACTCCCAGACAGCGAGATCGTGACCTGGCTGAAGTCAGACGCTTAACCGACTGCGCCACCCAGGCGCCCCATGTGTTCACTTTTAAATTCAGACTAATGAAAATTTTTATTTCTTACTTGCACTAGCTATATTTCACATGCTCATCCACCATATTGGATGGCAGAGAACTATAGTCCATAACTATATAGAACTATATAGTCCATAACTATAGATTCTAAAAGTCCAAATTCTATTATCATGTTCACATTATTGTGACTAGACAAATATTGTTTCCTATAGAGTCTAGTAGTGAACTAGGACTACTTTCCTTTTACTGTTCATTATAATTTCCTAAGAAAGGCTATATAGAAGATAAACGTTTTGAATCCTTGCATGTCTAGAAAAGCCATTATTCTGCTTACAGTGGGTAGAATTGTGTCCCTGAAAAAAATATGTTCAGGTCCTGGCCCCTGGTACCTGTAAATGTGACCTTATTTGGAAATAGGGTATTTGCAAATGTAATTGAGCTAGAAAAAAATTCATGCTGGATTAGGATTGGCCTTAATCCAATGACTGGTGTCCTTATAAAATGAGGAAAATTTGGGAACCAAAGACACAGGGGAGAGTTCCATAGAACAGATTCCCCCTCAGAACCTCCAGAAGGGACCAACCTGAATTTTGGACTTCTAGCTTCCAGAACTATGAGAGAATATAAATTTCTGTTGTTTTAAGCTACCTAGGGGTGCCTGGGGTGGCTCAGTCGGTTAAGCATCCGACTTCAGCTCAGGTCATGAACTCACTGTGAGTTCAAGCCCCGTATAAGGCTCTGCATTGACAACTTGGAGCCTGCTTGGGATTCTTTCTCTTCCCTCTCTCTACCCCTCCCCTGATTAAGCTCACACATGCTCTCGCTCTCTCTCAAAATTAATTAATTAAAATAAAATAAAATAAAATAAAATAAAATAAAATAAAGGATAAAAGAGAGGATTCGTGGGGACCTAGGTGGCTCAGTCAATTAGGCATCAAGTCTTGGTTTCGGTTCAGGTCATGATCTTGCTTTTTGTGAGTTCAAGCCCCACACTGGGCTCAGTGCAGAGCCTACTTGGGATTCTCTCTCTCTCTCTCTCTCTCTCTCTCTCTCTCTCTCTCTTTCTCTCTTTCTTCCCCCCTACCTCTCAAAATAAATAAATGAACTTAAAAACAAAGTTACCTATTTTGTGCTAATTTGTTATGGGAGCCATGGAGACCACAATGTCCTTAGGCTTGATTGATAGTTTGGCTGGGTGTAAAAGATCCTAGGTTGCAAAAGTAGCTCCAGAGCCTGATGGCATATTCCATCATCTTCCAGACTCCAGTGCTGTTGGCAGAAGTGTGATGTGTGTTAGTTGGAATTCTTGGTCTCAGAAACAGAAACAAACTGCTAAAAATTTAAGCAGAAAAACAACTCATTGGTTAAACATCTAACAGTTTACAGAATAGTTATGAAATCTAGAGAATCAGTCTGAGGCAAGACATAGCCAAAGACGACCCCAGGAATGACCCAACCTGGAATGTCACAACTATTGCCACCACAACCAGATTCTCGATGCTGTGGGACACTATAGTAGTTTCAACATGGCGACAAATTCTTTTCAGGTCTTTCCATGAGGAAGAGGAGTCCATTTCTCCATTTCTTGAACCTGAGGTCATGTTATGACTTCATCTAACTAATACCATGCTGCAGAAGTGACATTGTGTGACTTCATAGCCTCAGCCTTAACAGGCCTTGCATCTCCTAATCTCATTCTCTGGTAATGCCTCCACCAAGAAGTCCAGGATCAAAAATTAGGTTGAGAGGGAAGCCCAGCAACCTAGCAATCCCAGCCATCCCGGCTAGGGCACAGACATGCAAGTGAGGCCATCGGAGACCATGCAGCCTCAACCAAACCACAAGCTATCAGCACCTGCATAAGGGACCACTAGAAAAACTGCCCTATTGATCCATATCATTGCAATAAATAATTATTGTTGTTTTAAGTCACTACATCTTCAGGGAAGTTTCCTATGAAATAATACATAATGGATACAGACATTCTGCCCAGTTCAGACTAGCTATAGAGAATAATCTCTTACTCTGCACTTTCACATCATGACATCAAGTTTCAAAGTTCATGAAAGAACCATATGATTGAACACACGTAGGTCACATGCCCATGCTCTCACCTCAATGAGGCAGGAAGGGGAACTACAGGACACATTTTGCATTCATTAGTGGGAGGAAGAACCCTGACTCCACTTATCTTGGGTTAGTCTCCAGTAGAAAGAGGCATTGTTTCTCTCTCTCTCATCATAGTGTGTGTTGGAATAGCTATCCTTCCGCCTCTAATTTTTTCTCCCCTCTTTTTGTTGATAGTATGACAAGAGTACTTTTCTGTCATGGATAGCAAGTTACAAATGGCTAAACAGAAATTTATTTCTTATTCATACAAATTCAAAATAGATAGGAATAGGGTAGTGCCTCTATTTCATGAAGTATCCAGGCACTCAATAAAACAGTAACCAAGTCTCCATCATCTTCAACACAGTGATTCTGAGATTTTCATGGGCATCCACACACAGCTGGGTGTTAGGAGAAGAGGAAGAAAATGGTAAGTGGAAGGGAGACTATTTAGACCAGGCACAGAAGTAGCACACAAGATATATGTATGCATACACTGAACAGAAATCAATTACATTGCCATACTAAGTACAAGACAACAGGGAAAACATAGTCTTGTGTTTTCTCGGGAATAACAGATGAGTTTGCTTAACATCAAGCCTATCTCTGCTGCATTACTATCTCTGTTTCCACATTCACCTTACTGTATGTCTACTCTCAGCATCAGTTCTTGTTCAGAATACCAGATCAAACTTGCTAGCTGGTGACTTCTGAGTGTTTCTCCAAGATTTATTTGTTTTTTTAACCTCCAGTTGAATTAGTTTCACCAAATTTAAGGTTTTTTTTTTAAGGCCCCAGCACAGGGGCCTGATGTGCGTCCTGACACAGGTCCCGATGCAGGGCCCAAACTCATGACCCTGAGATCAAGACCTGAGCAGAGATCAAGAGTCAGGTGCCTAACTGAATGAACCACCCAGGAGCCCTCAAATTTAAGCTTTTGACACGTGAGGATATTGTTACATTTTTCTGAAAAATTAACCATTCTAAGGGTTGTTTTTTTCAGTCTCTGCCTGATTTTCCTTCAAAAACATTAGGCTGCTTTTTAAAATCTTAATGCTTATCTGTAAGATTAAAACTACTTTGAGGGTGCCCTGCTGGCTCAGTCAGTGGAGCATGTGACTCGATCTTGGGGGTGTGAGTTCAAGTCCTACATTGCATGTAGAGATTAGTTAAAAAATTTAAAAATCTATAAAAAGACCCTACTCTGTATATGAATATATTCTGCTTTTTATCTCAATGAAATTTTTTCTATTTCATCTTTTTCCAGTTTCATTGATATAATTGTCATATAACGTTGTATTAGCTTAAGGTATTCAACAAAATGATTTAATATGTTTATATTGTGAAATAGTTGCCACAATAAGTTTAGTTAACATCCATCACCTCACATAGTTAGAATTTTTTTTTCTTGGGATGAAGACTTTCAAGATCTACTTTCTTAGATTCAAATATACAATATCATACTGTTAACTATAGTTACCATGTTGTACATTATATCCCCAGAATTTATAACTGGAAGTTTGTGCCTTTTGACCACCTTTACCCATTTCCCCCACCCCATCACTCACTTCTGATAACCACCAATCTGCTCTCTATTTCTATGAGTTTGGTGTTTTTAGTCTCCACGTATAAGTGAGATCATGCGATATTTATCTTTCTCTGTCTGAATTATTTCACTTAGGATAATGCCCTCAAAGTCTATCCATGTTGTTGCAAATGGCAGGATTTCCTTCTTTTGTGGCTAAATTTTAGATAGATAGTTAGATATAGTTAGATAGATATAGTTATAGATATACAGATATACAGATATGTACAGATGTACATATATATGTTATATATATATTATATATATATATCATATATATATATATAATATTTTCTTTATTCATCCATTGATGGACTCTTAGGTTGTCTCAATGTCTTGGCAATTGTAAATAATGCTGCAGTAAATGTGGAGGTGCAGATATCTCTTTGAGGTCCTGTTTTTCCTCTGGATATATACCCATAGTGGAATTTCTAGATTATAAGGTAGTTCTATTTTCAACTTTTGAGGAAACCCCATACTGTTTTCCACAGCAGCTGCACCAATTTACATTGCTACCAACAGAGTACAAGAGTTCTCTTTTCTCTGTAGCCTTGCCAACACTTGTTAGCTTGTCTTTTTTATGATAACCATTCTCTTTAAGTCCTCCTCCCTTTCATTTAATTTTTTTTTTTTATTTGACAGAGCGGAAGCAGGAGAGAGGGGCAGAGGGCAGAGAGCGAGAGAGAGAGAACCTCTCCATGCCCAGCATGGAGCCCAACATGAGGCTGGATCCCACGACCCTGGGATCATGACCTGAGCCAAAATCAAGAGTCAGACGCCCAACAGACTGAGCCACCTGGGCGCCCCAAAGAGTTATTCTGACAGGTGTGAGGTGATATCTTTCTGTGTGTGTATTTTTTAAGATTTTATTTATTTAATTTTTAAGTAGGCTCTATGCCCATCGTGGAAATCATACTCACAGCCTGAGATCAAGAGTCCCATGCTCCACTGACTCAGTCAGGCACCCTGTTCACTATAGTTTTGATTTGCATTTCCCTGATGATGAGTGATGCTGAGCATTTTTATGTACCTGTTGGCACTTTGTAGGTCTTCTTTAGAACACTGTCTATTTAGTTTCTATGCCCATTTTTCAATTGGATTGTTCATTTTTTTGCTATTGAGTTGTAGGAGTTCTTTATATATTTTGGATATTAACACCTTATCAGATACATGATTTGCAAATATTTTCTCCTATTCTGTAGTTTCCCTTTTCATTTTGTTGATTTCCTTTGCTGTGCAGAAGCTTTTTAGTTTGATGTGGTCCCGCTTATTTCTATTTGCCTGTATTGCCTTTGACAAAAGGCTAGTATTATAGCTAGAAAGCTATTAGCCTCGCATGCAACTTTCCTTAGTGAGTTCATGCATATCTGAACTTGTCAGCAGTTCTTCCACACATCTAAAATTAAATTCTAATTACTGGGGCACCTGGGTGGCTCAGTTGGTTGAGCGCCTGACTTCGGCTCAGGTCATGATCTCACAGCTCGTGAGATCAAGCCCTGCGTCAGGCTTTGTGCTGACAGCTCAGAGCCTGGGGCCTGCTTCAGATTCTGTGCCTTGCTCTCTCTCTGCCCCAACCCACTCACATTCTGTCTCTGTCTCTCTCAAAAATAAACATTAAAAAAAATTCTAATTACTATAATTTTTTTGTTATGGTAAAAACTATATAACATAAAATTTACCGTCTAAACCATTTTTAAGTGTGCAGTTCAGTATATTTACATTTTGAAAGAGATCTCCAGGGGCGCCTGGGTGGCGCAGTCGGTTAAGCGTCCAACTTCAGCCAGGTCACGATCTCGCGGTCCGTGAGTTCGAGCCCCGCGTCAGGCTCTGGGCTGATGGCTCAGAGTCTGGAGCCTGTTTACAATTCTGTGTCTCCCTCTCTCTCTGCTCCTCCCCCGTTCATGCTCTGTCTCTCTCTGTCCCAAAAATAAATAAACGTTGAAAAAAAATTAAAAAAAAAAAAAAAAAAAAAAAAAGAAAGAGATCTCCAGAACTTATTCATCTTTCAAAATTGAACAATAATTTCCCATTCCCACCTCCCCCACCAGCCCCTGGAAACCACCATTATACTTTCTGTTCCTATGAATTTAACTACTCTAGATACTTCGTGTAAGAGGAATCATACAGTATTTGTCTTTTTGTGTGTGCTTTATTTCACTTAGTATGTCTTCAAATTGTATTAAAATATTAAATACATATAAAAGAATATAACAAGAAAAATACCCATATACCTATCTTTTTTTTAATTTTTATATTTTTTAGCGTTTTTCATTTTTGAGAGATGGAGAGAGACAGAGAATCTGGGCAAGGGGCAGAGAGGCAAAGAGGGAGACACAGAAATCTAAGCAAGCTCCAGGCCCTGAGGCCTGAGGCGGAGCTTGAACTCATAGACCCCAAGATCATGACCTGAGTTGAAGTCAGACCCTTAACCGACTAAGCTACGCCCCTCCCACGTACCTATCTTAATGAATATAACATCATAAATATCATTGAAGGCCCTTGGTGTTCCTTCTTCCTTGACAGATGTTAACACTATGGAGAATTTTGTATTTATCATTCCCTTGGCTTTTTCTTTTTACAATATTTATGTGTATCTAAACATTATTTAATTTTGTATGTTTTCGAACATTGTATATGC